TCTTTCCCTCTCCTTTCTCTCCCGGTGTGTTTTTTTACGTAAAAACCTACCCGAGAAAGGCTGTCGTGTGGCATGGCTTTAGCCAAGAAGGGCTCATTCGTAGGACAGCACAGTCCCAGAGAGAAATATTCTAATCGAGAGATGACAGCTTGTACAACAAGTAGGTCATACACGACACAGAACACGAAGGAACGACAGAATCCCTCGGGAACGATATAACAGTTCGACACGAAAGTGAAACAACATGCATAGAACGCGATCCCGCGTGTTTACGTCGGCGGAACTCACCTTGGTTCGACTGGGACTGCGGTAACGGCTCGTAACGATTTGAAACGAGCGCACTGAGTCCACTCCATGCCTGGTACACGCACGGCCACTGTCTTCTTAGCTGCTTTTTCCTCGGTTTTAATCTGTTCGAACACTTGTGGACATGCTGCCCCTCGTTCAACGTAGATAAAGATCGTCGGCGCACACTAATACTCGACGGTCACGACGCTGAGGCGCGAAAAACGCGAAAATCCGACGGATCCGCGGTATAATGTCACGAAATACGTACCGAGTCGGCGAACGTCGAGCCGCGACAGTGGCGTCTACCTGCGCCAAGCGGTTCAACTAAATTCTCTAGCCACCGACACCTGGGGATATTCCCCCAACCGACAGTTACCCCCACTCTTTGTCTAATTCTTTTTTAAATTTGAAAAGAGGCGTCTTCATTCCGGTTACAAGTTCGTTATCTATTTCTTACGGTATTTTTTATTTTGTGCGTCAGTGTTTTACATATGGACCAATTTTCAGGTATGGAACCTACATTTTCTAAAATTTATTTTTTTAAATAATGTTTTGTATATCTTTTCAAACGAACGAAAGATACTTAAATCTAAATGTTCGTATTTTTGCCTCGATCAAATTGAGAGACGAAGATGCATATATTACGTAAAAGAATTTAATTTATTTTATATAAACGTGCTATAAATACATCTTATAGTACTCTTTTAAATTGTTCATATGCCAAAATTTGTAATAATTTATTTTTATACGTCGGGTTTAAAATATCGCGCAATTTATTTTCAAGGGTAGGAATATAATTTTCGTAAGTTTTTACGAGCGTCCTAAACGTAATAGATTTTTCGAATTCGACATTTAAAAGTGAATTGATCCAATCTATACTGTCATCTGACAGCGAAATATCCATATAACATTTCATATTGTCTATTAAAAATTCTGCACAAATTCTTGATACCTCCACAGGTTCAAAGAAATCGTAATTCGTGCATTTATTGAACACCTTAAAAGAAACACCATTGTAACTATAATTTTACTTGCTTTAAATAATAATTCATAAAATAATTTACTTACATCTGTATCATCCATTTCATAATCTGTGTCATCTAACAACGCGATGCCCCAATAAAAAAATACAATACATAAAAACTCGGCATGTTTATTATTTATGTTGCAATAAAAAAATTTCGAGAGTAGTAAATTCGGATACGAATAATTATTGGTCATTGTACAATGTACAGGTACATGATCGATTAACAAACAGGCCTGACGTCGTGTTTCAGAATTATTGTCCAACAGTAACTGCAGTACTGTTGTCCACCATTGAACTTGTGCATCTGCAATCATGTTTAATTAGAATATCATAGAAATATTTTAATATTTCACAACTTACATCGATACTCCACTCGTTTATAACACGCTAGGAAAAGATCCTGTAGTATTGAAAACACAGACTTCCTAAAATCTTCATCTAAACTCATGATCCATAAATTATCACAGACATTGTTGTACACATTGTTTGTACATTCCAAATTAATTGCTTCTTCATTCTTGTTCGAAAGAGCTAATGTTACATACGATTTCCCTAATAATCTCAAGTAACAATCTCTTTCGTAATAACCACTTTTATTATCTTTTAGACGTATTTCATTCAGTACAAATTCACAAATATCGTTTCTCATAAAATCAGCTGATTCAATTTGGTTAACGTACATTAAACTATTATAGAGAAAATCGAACATTGCATCTTGCAGCTCTGGGCTGTATTTATGGAAATATCGTATTGAATTACGAATTTCATTAAAAGCATAATTTAGTAATTGCTCCGATATATCATTATATTTCACTTCATTAATGATTTCTATAATAGTTGACCAAATAGTAATTGGGGTTTCAGGGCTTCTTAAATTATGTAGATATATTCCAGTTACTATAGAATGTTGAATTAGCGATGTCTCTTCTGCTATCGATCGAATAAATTTAATGACCGATAATTTATACAATTCTCGTGCTGGCCCATGTTTCAACTCTTCGTGTAGTAAATGAGAAGTGACCATATGTAGAATTGCAAAGTGCCGTCTAAGATATCTGCAATTGAAAAATTATAATAAATTTTAATTCGCTACGATTTTTAATATCAATTTACTTACGTTTTATCCACTTTGCACATTTTATTGCAAATATTTATATAAACTGCTGCTAGTAGAAAGCTTGCCGGCTTTGAATTCTTTTGCTCCAGATTTACTAAGATCCAAGTTGTGTGTTTTAAAAATATATCCCAATCCATATCAAGTGACTTGGAAAATGTGCAACTAAAATATTTTAATATCTCATCTATCTATGACAAATGAAAAATGTTTAGTTTAAAAAGCCTGAAATATTTTGTTTAAAAGAAAAATATATTTAGTATGCACACTTGTAACATATATCCATGTATCAAATTTAAGTATGAATGGCTGGTCTTTGTAGTCACTACATTCCTCATTATTTTCATCAGGAAACATTCGGCAATATGTTTTGTTAACAAAGAAACAAGTGCTCTAGCTGCTAATTTACGTGTTTCAAATACAGCACTTTTTGCACATTGTATAATTAAGATTCTAAGTTCCTCAATCTGAAATATACATAGGATTTTTACTATTATGCTAGATTATTATACAATTATTTATCATTACCTCGCATTGAACATTATTATATTCCAAAATGTACATTCGTGACAATAATAATAAAATTGATTGCACGTTAGCTTTTATGAGGGTATCATTCATTGCTACAAACATTCGTAGTTCATTTATAATGAAAAGCAATAGATTGGGATATTTTTGAAAGAAGACGTCATAATTCATTTTATTGCTTGTTGTAAGATTAATATGGTCTTTCGTTCTTTGAACGCCAAAAATTCTAATAATGAGTGCACTAAAAAGCATTGCTGCTGCATTCCTTTCCTGTAAGAGTACACATCTTTTATTTTATTTTCATGTAACAAAAAAGAGTATCTTACGTTTCAATAAGTATCTTACCGTCCATGTTGGAGCATCGTAGCTTTTAAATGCCGCTATTAAACCATCTTCGACATAATTACTTACTACCTCTGCAAGTTGAGAGTGTCGAAAAATTGCTCTTAATATGTTTAACGCATGTGCTTTGATTTCTGTAATCTGAGCAATATTTCCATTCATGGGACAATCATTGTTATGCTTTAATGTTGTAAAGCAATTCTTATATTGAGTAAATACAGAGTTCGAGTAGATTAACTTTTGCACCTTTTCCCATAGATTTCCACATTCCAATTGTGTAAGTCCTAACAATATGTTCATCATCGACTCGAATGTTGCAGTTTTCGTATCTTTGTACTGACGAGGTTCTGTAGATAGTATAGCCTATTAAGTAAAATTCTAATAATTCAATTTCGAACAAACTGTGGAAAATAATTTACAATAAAAATATTTGATCTTATTTACCTGTATCATAAATGGTAAACCTGCACTTCTTCGGGTTGCACATAATTTTGAGTTCTGCTTAATTCCTATAATAGCCATCAAAATCTGATGTAACCACAATTTAGGTAATTGATTCAGATTCGTATTTCTTAGTCGCCATAAACGAGAACACAATTGACTAAAACCTACATGTGCCTGTTCAAATGCTCCTCTATGCTTTGTTTCAGTAAGCAATGAAACCAAGTGTTCTCCTATTCTGATAACCTATTAAAAATTTGCTTTGATTTATTTACTTCCAAGGAAATAATTTTTTAAATATAAACTATATAGTTTTACTTGTTCTTCATTTAACAGTCCTGAGGAAAGATTATCTCCATATATAGGTGCCTTAGTAGAAAGCATACCAAACAATAGGCTAACTTCTCTTATAGTACGCCAAGAACAAAGCAGTACCATTTGTGATGTTACTATTTGTTTATCAGGCACACAACCACATATTTCATTAATAGCTTGTAAATTTAGATCCATTGGTAAATGACCTTCAGGTGAAGAATTATTTACTATCAAAGAAACAGCATGACTGAATTCGAAAGATAGAGATATTAATTCAGCTATAGTATTTTGCCACAAATGCTCTTTTTCTACATCTTTCAAGTTGCATTCATATAATAAACTTCTGATGCAGAAAAGATATCCATATAAACAATGTTTAGTAACAGCTTTCACTATATTTTGTTTTGCCAGTGTTAAAGAATCCTGCAAAAATAGTTCATGCAGTAATCTTCATGGAATGACTCGATCATAAATAGATACAAATACCTTTAATATTTTCAAGAGAATTAATATTAATTGTAACAATGGTGCTGCTTTTGTATCTTCAGACTGAATTTTTAAACCAAAGTTGTTTTCAAGAACATCTTGTACAATAGGTGACAACAAGCAAACTTTTAACATGTATGCAGCTGTAATGCTATCAATAGGTCTAATGCTATTTCCTAATTCAATAGCAACCATGATAATGTCATAAACATGATTTTCATCATTTAATTGTAACAAACTTGTATCTACTGACTTTATTAACTTAAAAGCCATTTCTTTGTTTATCTCATATGTATCTAATAACATTATATCGAATATCGCTTCCACTTGTTTAGCATTCCATGTAACTTGTTTCAATTCATCGTCTAATATGTCTTTCATTAAAAGCAAAATTTGTAGAGAACATTTTCTTTTATTATATGTAGCATCAATAGTACATATGCACATAGTCCTTAAAGATTGAAACACATTGTAATATACATTTATATCACTTTCTAAATTGGTGGATATTCTATAAGATTCGTTTAATATTTCTTGTTCTATCTCTGATGAACTACAATTTTGTTTATAATGTTTTCTCATTTTTTCTTCTTGTATACATTGTCTCCTCATCACAGCTAAGCTGTCTTTCATACGCCTCAAAGCCTATAAAAAGGAACTTAGGATTCAAAACAAACCTGTATTTCTTATAAAATGATCTTACCTTTTTTATTAGAGGCACAAACTCTATTTTTTCTTTAAAATTAACACGCAGAAATAAGATAATTATATCAAGTTCTTTAGATGTAAATTTCAGAGTACTTTTCTTTGATTCTACCACTAAGGCAAGCGTATTTAATTTTATCTGAAACAAAAGTGAACGTTCTATCACAAAAATACAACACTTTTAAAGAAACTGAGTTTTGTAAATTAATACTTCTTCATCGTGATGACAAATATAATGTTCCAAACAATCATAAGTGACAGAATTTCGCCAATATTCATTATTCGAATCGAGATGTTTCTCCTCATCTAATTCACCGCTACGTTTCAGGATTAGCAATTCTTTCAATTGTCTTTTTATTTCATCCGATGAATACATATTGTTCAAACTAATTACACTGAATCGTAGCAGAGCACGTGTATTATAGTACAGATGAATTGTATATATGATTGAAATGGTCTACTATTTTACCGACGTTGTAGCCTTTTGCAACACTTAATCGGTAACGTTGCATATGTTACCAAAGTGGAAATAACTAAAGTTATATGGCAACTGTACTGTACTAGTATTAATTTTAAAAAAAGCAAGAGTCCGTTCTTATCACTAGCAAACGCAATTTCTATTACCGACCGTTAATTACACGATGGTGACATTATCCGCTATAAATGAAACAGTCCGATGTACATACTTCTGTCATCTACAGTTAAAGTTCGCAATGCTCGCGAACGAAACGACATAGTTATTCCACGATAATCATTTCATAATCTTTCATTGTCAAGATAGATTAATTTAATCCTCGCTCCACTGTGCCCGATCTATTATCGCGAACAAGACGATAAAAACGTCACAGGGATTAGATAACTCGTGGCAGTCTCGACGGTCATCGATGTCATCTGATTTGATGTCACAATTAATTACGAATGCACGTTTCATAGGTTAACCTCGATCGCGTGAAAAATCGCGCACGAAACGACGAAATGCAAGCTTGGATGGTAAAACAGCATTTATACGAAACGTTCGCTCGTATTTGTAATAATACATCGGACATTCGGGAAATTAACGAATCGAGGAAAATGGAAGGAAATGGAGGAATATCGTACGGAAAAATAACTCGGGTTACTAATTTAAATAATCGCGTGCCTAGTGCCACGCTGTGTGGCGACTAATAAATCGCTGTGATCGAAATCGATTTTTCGTGCACGCATTGACGGGCGTGCAAAGCGGAAACCACGCGTGCTAGAATGCTCGTGGAACTCGAGGAGGTGCGACAGAAGCGTAATGGTGACTAGGAATAGAGAGTTTGTTGACGAGGGACGAAAAAAGGTTCTTGGTACACAGCCGACAGCTCGGACAACGGCCTCCGTTGCACTCGGTTTACTTTTTTAAATAGTTGCCGACTAATTTTAACCACGCCGCGGTCTTATTGTGTAACTGACCTATACCGAGGCAACTCGCTCTTTCTCCCTTCCCCTTCCCGCTCCCTCCCTCTCACTCGCTCGACCGCGAGTCTTCTTCGATTTTTCTTTTCTTTCCACATGCACCGGTGTCCCCGTTGTTATTTAAATTGGAACAAGAACGTTGGACGGTAGAAATGTTTCCGCCTCTCGACTCTGGCTCCCACAACGTTGCACTTTTTCACGGGCCACGCAAACATTTCCGTCGTCCGAGCGTAGGTCTGGAAAAAAAGGAAGAATTTTTAATCTCGCTGGCAGCGGTAGAGGCGTGGGTATAAATCGAGTCGCGCGCGCAAACGGTCTACCGATTGCCTCGTGTTTCCGTTTCGGCCCGCGGAAACGAGCAGTGGCGTTAGTTGTCGGCGTGGTTGGCCAGCCTGCGTATCGTGGCGGGATTTTTCTTTCGCTGCCTAGCGGGTTACGATGTTTCGACTGTGTTTCGTCGGTGTTTCGTTAGTGTTTCGTTAGTGTTTCGTTAGTGTTTCGTCGGTGTTGGCGATCTAAGAAACAACGGCGGAAAATTACTGGCGGAAAATCGAAAAAGGTAAGCCTCGACCCGAGGTCAAATAAATAACCTCGAATAGTTGATTTCTGGTCGCGACACGTTTCCCGATAGCGGGTGTAGCGCGAGGTAATGGGAGCTGTTGGCGCGTGTTTATCGTTGTACCTGTACGTAGAAACGTGACATTTAACATAGCCCGACAGCAACGAACCGTCGTAACGCTTATCGCGTGAACCTTATCTGCGCGTTTCTCCCGAACCGGATGAATGCTCGTGTCCCCGCGAAAAGCAGGAAGCTATTTAAGGACGTCTTTTAGATACGAGTTCTCTTCGTCACTCGTGAGATCGACTTTCCGAATAATAGATCGCCCGGTGCCTCGCATTTCCCGTTCACCCAAAAGAGTATCTTCTATAGGGTACGTCATACAGCGGCATTGATCGTTATAGCCTATTCGTTGAGACTTCTTTGTAATAAAAATACGCGATGCAAAGCTATGAACCAACTAAGAGCGAAAATTTCATCGCGACGCTAACTTACTTTGATTTTTATCAACTTTTTCCCAATCCTTAGCAAATTTGTCACATTGGTCCCATGAAAATTTAAAATTTTTCGCGTGGGTACATTTTCGCTCGACACTAAAAGGATTGAAACAATATCCACCTATCCCGTGACCCCATCTACCACGGTTCACCTCGACGCCGACGACAAAGGGACTTACGGGCCCAATCCGCGGTCATAGTCGTTGACTTTCGTCGCGGGGAAACGACGAATGTGCAGGCGTTGCGCAACGTCCGTTGTCTCCTGCTAATCACGCATCATCCTGGGAAGGATCCCACCGCGTTTCCGACCATTCTGTCCCCGAAGGTCTTTTTCCTTTGTAACCGAGACATTCTTGAGAACGTTTCTTTCTCTTCGGCCTGTTCTCGCGTGTGCACGAAGAAGCGCGATGCTTATCGCTAATTGCCAGACCCATTAAAGCGTCGTGGAAGTTTTTCGGGAACTGACCCGCGGATCGAACTCAGCCTTCCATTGTTCGACGCGCGAGACGCGTAGTCGCGAGGCGTCACGGAAACGAAAGAAAGCGTCGGTGCCTGGCGGCGTCCCGCTTCACGCTTGGGGAACGTCCGAAGCCTGGCATTTCCATTGTTGCTCGCGAGGGGTTGCAGGAAGCGAGGGTTCACGGGAGTCGAAGCCGCTTTCCACGTGTCTGACGGGGAATTGTCCGACGCACAGGTAAATAACCGAGAATCGTCTGCTAACTCGATTTGCCGCCCCCTTGTCCAATCCAATTAACCACGCGAGTCACCAGGCTTCCCGTGGTAATCGGCCGTTATCCGCAATTAAATTCCACGCGTTCCCGCGACAAACGTTTTCGTTCCTCCTCGCGGTGTGTGCACAGAGCCATCGTCTTGAGCCATCCCGAGAGATCGGTAGGAGAGATCAGCTCTCTCTGCTCTCTGATCAAAATTCATGAAATCTTCCGGACGGTTCTATGAATTTTTATACCATCGTCGCGAGGATTGCGCGTTCCTACCGATCAGATTCCCAATTAAAGTCCACGTAATTATAAAGTTTCGCACCGTGCAACGACCGCCAGTCGTTTCCCTCCTCAACGTGATTTGTGAGAAACGTCTCCGCGTCTTCCGTCCTCCTCCGCCATTTTGCGCCAAGAACGCCGCGCGAACAAAATGGCACACGTCCGCGTGCCAGTTTCCGCGTAACGGGGTTAATATCGGCTGTTCGACGACGCTAGGAAACGCTTCGACGTATCCAGGCTGGCTCGTTGTTCCGCGCCGAGGACGCGTTCATACGCGGGTCATGCCTCGCGTACACATGTTGCGCGCAATCCGCCATTGATAGTGTGCTTGCTGTTGCACACGCTGCATACGTGTACATATGTGCAGGAGTATGTAACGAGAATCGACGAGTCTCGTTTTTATTCCCTCGCAAATGGATCTCGTTTGCCATTGAATTTCGCGGAAACGATAAATGTATATATCGTGTACTGTGCGTCGTGGACAAGAAGTCCGGTGTTTATGGATAGAGGCCACGGGGGGTGTAGAGGTCTCGAAACATCGAGGACGTTCGATAGTCGGTTACGAATCGCGCGAGGCATAAGCATCGCGAGAGATAGCTGTATAAACATTATGGGCATCGGGAACGTTCCGTGACGCGTGCCCACAGCAAAGCAAAAGGACGATCGGATGTATACACGTGGCAAGGCGTAGGAATATTTGTGTCGCGTCGCGGTTCTAGAAAGATTAGTACCATCGAGAACGTTCCGCGATTCGTACGCTACGTCTATGTGTAGCCTCCGCGATGCGTACCCTCCGTGACACGTACCCTCTGTGATTCGTGCCCTCTGCGACACGTACCCTTCGCGATGCATACCCTCTACCGATGCGTACCCTCTGCCAACGCGTACCCTTCACGATGTGTACCCTCCGCGGTGCGTTCCCTCCACGATACGTACCCTCCGTGACATGTACCCACCGCTATTCGTACCCTCTGCGACACGTACCCTTCGTGATTCGGACCCTTTGCGACACGTACTCTCCGCTATTCGTACTCTTTGCGACACGTACCCTCCGCAGTTTGTACCCTCTGCAACACGTACCCTCCGCAACGCGTATCCTCTGCAACGCGTACCCTTTGCGATGCATACCCTCTACCGATGCGTATCCTCTGCCAACGCGTACCAACCGCAATGCGTACCCTTCACGATGTGTACCCTCCACGGTGCGTTCCCCCCACGATACGTATCCTCTGTGACACGTACCCACCGCTATTCGTGCCCTCTGCGACAGGTACCCTCCGTTATTCGTACCCTCTGTGACACGTACCCTCCGTTATTCGTACCCTCTGCGACACGTACCCTTCGCGATTCGTACCCTCTGCGACACGTACCCTCCGCGATGTATACTCTCTGCGACACGTACCTTCCGCGATGTGTACCCTTCACGATGCATATTTTCCGCGATACGTACCCTCCGTGACGCGTACCCTCCGTAGCGAGTACCCTTCGCGATGTGTACCCGCCGCAAAAGCAAAGGACGATCGGATGCTCACGTGTAAAAGGTAAGCTGCCGATGGTCAGAACAGTCAACCCTGCCAAAGTGGTGTCCCACTCGTTCCACCTAACATGATCGCTCATAATCCCCGCTCTTCTATGACACTATCGAAGTCGATAGCTTCAGGTTCGGTAACTATTGGGATTATGGGCTTATAATTGTAAAATACCTATGATATATACAGTACAGACACGAACATATGTATGAGCACACCTGGCTTTTGGCGATATAAATGCTTAAATTAAGCTTTAGGGATAAGCCTACGCTCCTGCGACTATTTGTTGCATCTATCTCGTTTTGTCTCGACTGTTTTGTTCGCTTTCTTTGTTACACGGTTCTATATCACGAGGC